CTCTCTTGTGGCCTCACAGGATAGTAAAGTGTCCATTAAATGCACACTTCAAAATCTTGTCGGAAGTTGTAAGCCATCTGGGAACTATTTTGTCTTGAACATTGGGGACCTTTAAAAATAATAATAATAATACATTTTAGAAAGGAATAGAACGATGAAGGAAATACTAGGTCTAGCCTAATTCTAGCAGGAAAGTAATCATTTTTAACTATTTGCAAATCATTTTTTAAAATATGCACATACATTATTTACTCATTTACATTATTTACTTAATTTATATGCCTAATACGTCAAAAAAATTCTCTCTTCAGATTCAGTTAGAAATTATACGTGAATCGTGTAAATGATACCATATTTTCAATGCAAAAGCCATATTTGAGAAAAAAAGGTCGAGCAGTTTTCATCACTGGATATTACTGTCGTTTTAACATTTCTATCATATAAGTATTAATCATCAAATATTAAATGCTTTGCTACTTCCATCTTACCTTGCTCTCTTTAAACGTTAAAAACTGATGCTACACAATAGAATATGCGCTCTGCTTCTGTGAACAGAAATCCCAGCTTGTCCCTTGACTGAATGAATCAATATTTTTTTAATAAATCATTTGACTGAATAATTCAATGACTCATCCACAAACACAGTCACTTGTCGCCACCTACTGGCATAACCAGAGACCTAGAGGCAAAATAGAGGCAAGCGGAATGGATAAAAATGGTGAAAAGTCTAGTTTAATGACTGGAACTTAGTGTTGGATAATGTTAATTATGTAATTTTTTTTTTTTTAAGGTTGTAAAACAAAGATTATTGGAGTATATTTTATAAGAAATTACCATTTCAGTCTTTCTACTTCAACATTTTACATTTAATTCAGTGTGTTACTTGTTTCATTGTAATTATTTATGAAATTTACTCATAATTTTTACAAAAACCAGCAATTCAGTTACTTTTTTTTTTATAGTGATTATTTATTTATGCATGCATGCATCCATGCCTTCATGCCATATTGTGCAGTTACAGCATCTACCAGCAGGGGCTCACTGGACTGTTTTAACCAGGCAAATATTGACCTCTTCTTTTGGATGAACTTCTAACCTACATTTCCACTATATGAAGGCATCTTTCTGTCACTTTGCTTTGGTCTGCCAGCTGTTTTCCATGACCTTATTCTTTTGTCAGACCAGACACTCTCTTCACTATAAGCGGGGCAATCTCTCGTTCGGTCTCTCTGTTCCTCCAGCCATTCATTATTCATGCGTTATGTCCACTCGGCAGAACTAATCTGGCCTGCTGGTGATGATTGCACATTAAAATGCACCAAAATGAGCATGCTTCTCCTGTTAGGCTATTAAAGACCCTAAAAGGATGGAAAAGATCTCTGGAGAGCACTAGAAGTATGTTCCCAAAATAGAAGGATTTATGTTCACGGACCTGAAATGTTGACATGAAAAGTTTGATATGCATGACTGAATTGTTGTTTCTCGTGATCTATAACACTTCTGTAGGACTATGCCTAAAGTCTTGAAATGAGTTTGGTAGAGGTAGACACATATACACTGAAAATAAATAAATAATATATATGTATATTGTTTTTTTTTAGAAAAATCATGTTATCAAATGTGATACATCATGTTTTTGAAGAACATTTATTTGTTCATCTCTCAAACATCATTGCATTATATGATTTGCTCCCTACAATGAAGACTACAGAACTTTAAACATAAAAATAATCACTAAAATAGAACCTTATTAAGCTATATTATTGGGAGATTTATAATGACAAGTGATATTCATGTGTATTTTTTTGTAAGTAGGCTGCTATACTATTATAAAAATCTCAATTAATTTACATTACAAGCTGTGAGAATATCATCTTACTTTCTGGCCATATAAGTATCAGCAACTGCACCAAATTTCAAATGTATGCTCAAATAAAAAGTAAGTGCTTCATATTAATATCATACTATAATTTCATGTCAGCTTTTGCAGGGATAATTGAGCTTTCGGTTAGATCTCTTTTAAGAAGTCTATGTAATAAAAATACACACAGACTGTAAGAGTATAAAGCTATAAAACAAACAGCATAGCCTGGATAGCATGGTCTTTGTTAGAATCTCACGAGAAATGTTTGAGTTCATTTTGAGATGAATCCCGAATGATTTGATTTGAGCACAGATTGAGATTCTGAAACTCAAGAGGAGATATATCATATGTGCATGAGCTTTCTTTCTTTGATGATAAAAAAATCAGAGTGTTGGGAAACCTGCTCCCCATTTAATCTCATTGGCGTCTAGGAGAAACAGTTCAGATCTCATTAATGATTTTTTTTCTTCAATGCTAACACCAAACAAAGCTTGTAGCAAAATCATCAGATATACTAATCAATAATTTGTGTGATGCATTATTAAAGGTATGCCTCAATATCATGTTCTAGTAGACCTGGTGAAGTTAATTAGTTTATAGTAGCTGCACTCTATGCAGACATTTAGTACTGGTTATTATTTACATTAATTATTCGCAATCTTTTGCATTGATGTGCTTTTAAGGTTTGTGCATGTACTGAGCTTCAAGCATGAGGTTTACGTGACAGGAGTATGTACTGTGATGTGATTCCTTTCTGGTCCTCAAGGGAGAGTCTTGAGATGTGAGGAGAATTCCAAAGAGGATATCTGCGGGATTTTCCCACATCGGCAGGCTGATCATGATTCCCTCTTACACATGCGCAGAATCCTGAAAGTGTGTGTGTTTTTTTTATGTATGAGATTATGAAAATATCAGTTCAAATGAAACCTGAACAAAAATATTGTGAACATCTTCTGATGTGGTTATATCTCTGTCCAGTTGTTCAGTGGGAGATGGAGGCTGTGTGTGAAGAGAGTTTGCACAGGTTTTTGGGAGCTGTGCGTGTCGATTGGAGGAACCAGTTCTGTGTCACCCCACCCAACATAAGGTAAGACGCAACATACCAATGCAGAAAGTCTACTGGATTGAGTTAACAAGTCTTTTAATACAAGTGATATTTCATTTCTTAGACCTGCTTCTACCCACTGACCAGGTCTTCTTTCTTCTCTCATCCTGTAGCTTCACATTCTTACTGACAGAGGAAGACAAACCTCAAACCCCTGAGGTAAAAAACTTGACGAGTTCCTTCTAAAACAGCCCATCATATATTCACATCTTAATTTTAAATGTCATAAAGCTATTATTTTAATTTGGATTCAAATGTCACCTTAATCTCTTAAAGTAAACGTTCAGCTAAAGATGAAAATTGATTTACTCTCCCTTATGTCCCCCCCACTTTTAATATCACGTAAATTCGTCCCCCGCACTTTTTCGGGCAAGTGTGTTCGCATAGAGATTTTCACAGAGGAAAAAACGATTGCTCAGAGGTTGCTCTTTCTTAGCTTAGGAGTCTTAACCCCATGCATCATATTTGATACATAAATTTCTAAGGCCAGCAAATTATCAACATAATCAAAACTTTGCTGAAAAACATGTTGTACACATTCAATTACATGCCTTCTGTTGTCTGATTGATTGTTTATACCTTTTTCAAGTAAAAAGCCTTTTAGTATAATTCTAAAAATGTCCACCTTCGGGTTATGATATCTTTTTGTCGTGAAATTTTTTTAATGAGGTGAATGTAAAAATACATTTTATATTGTTAGTAATGTTTCAAGATGAACTGGACTGAAGGAATGTAGGTTTACGTTATTATCCATTAATATATATGTATATTGTTTTTTTTTAGAAAAATCATGTTATCAAATGTGATACATCATGTTTTTGAAGAACATTTATTTGTTCATCTCTCAAACATCATTGCATTATATGATTTGCTCCCTACAATGAAGACTACAGAACTTTAAACATAAAAATAATCACTAAAATAGAACCTTATTAAGCTATATTATTGGGAGATTTATAATGACAAGTGATATTCATGTGTATTTGTTTGTAAGTAGGCTACTATACTATTATAAAAATCTCAGTTAATTTACATTACAAGCTGTGAGAATATCATCTTACTTTCTGGCCATATAAATATCAGCAACTGCACCAAATTTCTGCTCAAATAAAAAGTAAGTGCTTCATATTAATATCATACTATAATTTCATGTCAGCTTTTGCAGGGATAATTGAGCTTTCGGTTAGGTCTCTTTTAAGAAGTCTACATAATAAAAATACACACAGACTGTAAGAGTATAAAGCTATCAAACAAACAGCATAGCCTGGATAGCATGGTCTTTGTTAGAATCTCACGAGAAATGTTTGAGTTCATTTTGAGATGAATCCCGAATGTTTTGATTTGAGCACAGATTGAGATTCTGAAACTCAAGAGGAGATATATCATATGTGCATGAGCTTTCTTTCTTTGATGATAAAAAAATCAGAGTGTTGGGAAACCTGCTCCCCATTTAATCTCATTGGCGTCTAGGAGAAACAGTTCAGATCTCATTAATGATTTTTTTTCTTCAATGCTAACACCAAACAAAGCTTGTAGCAAAATCATCAGATATACTAATCAATAATTTGTGTGATGCATTATTAAAGGTATGCCTCAATATCATGTTCTAGTAGACCTGGTGAAGTTAATTAGTTTATAGTAGCTGCACTCTATGCAGACATTTAGTACTGGTTATTATTTACATTAATTATTCGCAATCTTTTGCATTGATGTGCTTTTAAGGTTTGTGCATGTACTGAGCTTCAAGCATGAGGTTTACGTGACAGGAGTATGTACTGTGATGTGATTCCTTTCTGGTCCTCAAGGGAGAGTCTTGAGATGTGAGGAGAATTCCAAAGAGGATATCTGCGGGATTTTCCCACATCGGCAGGCTGATCATGATTCCCTCTTACACATGCGCAGAATCCTGAAAGTGTGTGTGTTTTTTTTATGTATGAGATTATGAAAATATCAGTTCAAATGAAACCTGAACAAAAATATTGTGAACATCTTCTGATGTGGTTATATCTCTGTCCAGTTGTTCAGTGGGAGATGGAGGCTGTGTGTGAAGAGAGTTTGCACAGGTTTTTGGGAGCTGTGCGTGTCGATTGGAGGAACCAGTTCTGTGTCACCCCACCCAACATAAGGTAAGACGCAACATACCAATGCAGAAAGTCTACTGGATTGAGTTAACAAGTCTTTTAATACAAGTGATATTTCATTTCTTAGACCTGCTTCTACCCACTGACCAGGTCTTCTTTCTTCTCTCATCCTGTAGCTTCACATTCTTACTGACAGAGGAAGACAAACCTCAAACCCCTGAGGTAAAAAACTCGACGAGTTCCTTCTAAAACAGCCCATCATATATTCACATCTTAATTTTAAATGTCATAAAGCTATTATTTTAATTTGGATTCAAATGTCACCTTAATCTCTTAAAGTAAACGTTCAGCTAAAGATGAAAATTGATTTACTCTCCCTTATGTCCCCCCCACTTTTAATATCACGTAAATTCGTCCCCCGCACTTTTTCGGGCAAGTGTGTTCGCATAGAGATTTTCAAGAGTGAGTGAGTGACGTGACATGTGGCCAAGTATGGTGACCCATTCTCAGAATTAGTGCTCTGCATTTATCCCATCCAAAGTGCACACATACAGCAGTGAACACACACACACCATGAACACACACTCGGAGCAGTGGGCAGCCATTTATGCTGCGGCGCCCGGGGAGCAGTTGGGGGCTCGGTGCCTTGCTCAAGGGCACCTCAGTCGTGGTATTGAAGGTGGGAGAGAGCACTTTACATTCACTCCCCCCAGTTCAAATCCCTGCCGGTACGAGACTCGAACCCGCAACCTTTGGGTTATGAGTCTGACTCTCTAACCATTAGGCCACGACAATTTTTTGCATCATCACTCCTGAAAAACAGTTCTTTAAAACTGTAATAATATTTCACAGCATTACTGCTTTTACTGTACTTTGGCTCAAATAAATGCAGGCTTGGTGAGCAGAAGATACATCTTTATAAAACATAACAAATCTTACTGTTCAAAAACGGTTGACTGGTAGGTTATATAGATTACAGAAATGTTATATTGTAATGTTTTATATATATATATAACATTTCTGTCCCCCTCACTTCTGAAATGATGGCTACGCCCCTGCACACGAAAGGTAAATATTTGAAGTATAGACCGTTTTGACAGTTTTTCAATGAAGTGAAAGTGATCAAGTACTAGGGCTGTCAATGTTTAAATTGACAAAAAGAAATACAAAAAATGTCATTACACTTGTCCATATGACTAATGGGCTGTATTCCATTTCTTCTGAAGACATATGATTCGTAATCTGCCTTAGTTCTTTCTGGCACATTGACTGTTGATCCAGTTCGCAACACAAGTCTGAATGATTCATTTTCAAGTTGGAAGGATGCTTCTCGATGCTCAATTATCCGGTTGCAACGGTTGGTTACCAGCTCATTGGAGGGGAAGATCAGTTAATTTATCAGTGAATAATGACTTAAATATAATGTCACCAGAGTTATCATATGACTCAGAAAACATAGAATGCACACAAGTACTTTAATGATACTTTTGAGGTTTCTGTGTCCCTGCTACAGTTTACAGTTCTCATTCATTGTGATCGCGTGGAGAAAAATGTTTCAGTTCCCTTCTTTTGTGTGAGGAAGCCAAATCAAATGTTTAAAAATCTACTGTTTTGTCTGTTTTTTTAAGTTTTACATGCTAAGTGATACTGTACAGTATTATATTAAGAATGCATAAATATTCATTTTGAAGTCACATTCAAAATGATTCATACAGTTTCAATCAGAAAGAATAAGGTCAGGTTCCAATATTGAGAGATGTGGTGATGGCAGAAACATATTTCAGTTTTCAGGTGAAGTCCGTCGTTTGAATTTGCAGGTTGCAAAGACACCCCCATCCAAACCTGATCACCTCCTGCATGAATTCCTTGTTCCATAATCATATGTAGAGGTCCAAAGTTTAATTTATATAACAGCTCAAAGGTTGTGGGCATCTGTCAGTACATTTAGTCCACTGTATGGTCCATGATTGTTGTTCCTGTTGCCCTCAGAGAAAGTCTAGACCACCCACTCTCCTGTGATGTCATTCTGAGTTTACATGACAAATGGCAAGGAACGCCATCAGGTCACCACTGACGCCACAGACAAAATAAAACCCTGCCCATGGACCAAGAGATGCTTCAAGGATATCAACTATGTGCCAAGACCTTTTTTATAATATTAGATTATTTTTATAGAGAATAGAATAGACAATAGACAATAGTCAGGTTCCGTATAAATCACAATGCATAAAAGACACAACTCATATTCTCTGTAAAGTGATGATATATGCTTCAATGTGATTTCAACATTTAAAAACAATATCCTGTTAAATTGTCAGATTCCTGGTTAATAACTACACTATCCATATTCCTGAGGAGAGATCGACCAATCACCGAATCGCTATAAAACATTGTGGAAAAAAATTATAAAATTGCAAGTTTTCTGATAAAAAAAATTGTGATTTACATGCCATTAAAACAATTCCAGATTTGCTGTGCTTATTGTAGGGCTGCACAGTTTGGCAACATTTTGGTATTATCAATATGGCTATCAAATTATTTTCATAATAATAATAATAGAAAAAATATATTAAAATAATTGTATTTTTTATTATTAAATAAAAATATATAATAAAGAACAAAATAAGAACTATTACTCTTGTAATATTTGACTGTAAAATAAAAAAAATCTATTGTTTAAGAAAAATAATATAATAATTTTGTTTTACATTACAACTGCAAAATTACTATACTAATATTAGGAACATTATGCCTTGATTGTCCAATGCTCTATTTGTCTGACACAGTAATGTCATGTATTAAATTATCTTCAGGGTTTTTTAAGCAAATATTCATATAAATAATTACTTCTGATTAATTTGGTTAATTAATAACTGTATTATGTAATTTGATTAAAAAACACTTTAAACAGTTGACAACTTGTGTTGTCAATATACTGTATACAGTCTTGGTCAGATTTTCCAGTATTTTCTTAAATTAGAGTTGTTAATGTTGTAATTCTTCTCTAAGCTGGATGGTTTGATTAAATACTTTATTTTATTAAACTCTTTATTGAAGCATTTTTAATGAAAAAATGAATGAGAAAAAAATTCTAAGGACACTGAAAAAAATTGCTGCTTGTTGCGCTGTATTAGGATGCTCAGGTAAATCATCAGATTACATCAGTGATGTCCATTTTGATGTCTGATTGCATTCCAGGGATACTGTTCTTTTGATTATGATATCCTTATTGGTCAGTGCGTGATATCAGCATGCTTGACCTTTACATAAGTCCATCTTTCACACACACACCAACACTGTCAGTTTGATGAGCGTCAGTGGTGCTTGAGGGGGTGTTACCCTTTCCACACAACCACGCAATCTACCCCCCCCCTCCAGAAAAGAGGGGGATGAGCGGGGGGAAATTGATGGAGCAGAGGAAAGGGGAGGGCAGGAGAGGGGGATGACTCATCCTCTGTTAGAGGAGCAGTGCATCAATGTCTTAACCCACAGACTTGCATTTACAGTGAACACACAATACTGACAGACGAACCGTGAGGAAAGATGGGAGGGCTCAGTGCAAATATACCCCAGATATTTAAATTGTGAGGACTAAAATGTATTTCATGGAATCTAACTGTGGATTTTGACCATACTCCTATATTAAAAATAATGGTTTCAAAATGGTATTTTTGTAGCAATGCCATAGAAGAACCATTGTGGGATTCCCAGTGACCCTTTTAGTTAACAATGATAAATTTCCCCTTACACTCTTAAAATTACAGGTTCCAGAAAGACAGAACGTCTCGGTTATGTATGTAACCCTCGTTCCCTGAAGGAGACGTCATGTCGGTGATGACCGATGAATTGGGATCTCGCCAGAGAGACCAATCCACTTCGAGTGTAACTAAACGAGCCAATGGACATTGGCATGCGGATTTCGCATTTGGCTGCCACACCCTGCAGTGCGGGTATGAGAGGCAGCAGATGCACCGCTTTAATTCATGTTTTCGCTGAGGAGTCGAGCCAGTGACCTGGCAGCTCAGCGGTGGTACAGCAACTGTGGCGACGGGACGTGACGTCTTCGTTCCCTCCTTCAGGGAACGAAGGTTACATACGTAACCGAGACGTCCCCTTTCAGTCGGTCACTCTCGACGTCACCTGGGTGATGACCAACGAACTGGGATCCCTACCAACACGCCACAGGTGCTGCCCCCTCCAGTGCCCTGTGTAGGCCTCCTGATCCTTCCTATAAGGCAGACGATAGGACCGGGCTCTACACAGAGAAGGTCGACTACAGCTGTTCCTGGCAACCCAACAGTAGGACTTGGATAACACTGGGAAGCGTGCCCTTCCATTTGGAAGAGGACACACTGTGGAGTCACCTCCTCCCAGAGGGGGTTAAGTGACATTTACTCACGTGGAGTAACCCCGAGGGGCCCTACTGCACATGGAAGTCTCTGAGATGGCTCATGGCTGCATCATTTAGAGACGGCAGAACGTGGTCTGCCAGGGGAAACACGGCCCTAGTAATTGTACCGTGGAAATACACATGTAGGATCCCAACCGGGTCACTCATATGGGCACTAGCCTCAGACCAGATTTCAGGAATTCATTGGCTGAAAGGCCTGGTACCGGACACTCCACCACGTCTGGCCACCGGAGTGCTGGAAGACTCGACAGGGTTTGCCCGGTCAGGGGACTCTCTGGAGAACTAGGCATCCAGGATGCCGCAAGCCGACTCTGAACCGGGCCTCTCAGTACCACTACCCATTTGAGGCGAGAACACCGGCGGAAACCAGTACGACACGCAGGCTATAGAACATAGCGAACGTTTTAGGAGTCCAGCCCATAGCTCTACAAATGTCTGCTAGCGAGGCACTACGAGCCAGCACCCAGGACGATGCGACACCCCTAGTGGAGTGAGCACACAGCCTGAGTGGGCAGGGCACACCTTGTCCACTATCCAGTGGGCCATCCTCTGCTTTGGAGACAGCCTTCCCTTTCTGCTGTCTTCCATAACAGACAAAGAGCTGTTCTGAGGTCCTAAAGCTCTGAGTTCTATCCACGTACTGTCGCAGTGCGTGTACAGGACAGAGCAAAGCTGAGGACAGCACCCAGGACGATGCGACACCCCTAGTGGAGTGAGCACACAGCCTGAGTGGGCAGGGCACACCTTGTCCACTATCCAGTGGGCCATCCTCTGCTTTGGAGACAGCCTTCCCTTTCTGCTGTCTTCCATA